TGGCAGAGCAGTGATGGGCAGGGCCATACCTTGACCAGCATTGTCCATCTGTGCATACCTTTGGCCTTCCATCTAAACCTAACCCTCCTATCAAGATTCCGAGGACAGACTTGGTGGTCACTGGCCTGTTTGTCCCTCTCCCCAGCGTGACCAACTGAAGAGATCTCCTTTCTCCTTTTCCACTAGTTTCTTTAAGGCCCGTGGAGGACGGGTGGCAAGCTTGGCCAGTCAGGAATGCCAGGGCCTCGCTTCTGACCTAACAACTCCAGTAACAGATTAAAGGTGACCTGAGACAAGACTGCTAAGCAAATACGTAATTTAGGTTGGATCCAGGAAAAAATGCAAAAAGGGCCTTATTATAATGGCTGACAACACTGGAGTAATGTTATAGATGAGGTAACACTTCTGTATAATTGTTATTTATTTTTTATTTATTTATTTATTTATTTATTTATTTTAAAAGCCTACAGCACCTGGTATTCCCAGGAGGTCTTCCATCCAAGTACTAACCAGGCCCGACCCTGCTTAGCTTCTGAGATCAGGCACGTTCAGGGTGGTATGGCCGTAGACTTTTTGTATAATTGTTAAACCTGGTTTTGGTAATACCCGTCTGGTGGTCAAGGAAACCTACTTGTTCTTGGGAAACACACCCTGATGTGTAAGGGTAAAGCGTTGCACTGTTTGGAGGCCTATTCCTGAATGAAAAACTTGTATTCATAGCAACTAGTGAAAAGGAAAAATTGGGTGCAGTGGGTGAGCGCTTTTCCGTTATTTTTGAGATTTGTATGCGACGATTTCAAAGAAAGATGCTAAACGTAAATAAATACGTTGAATCTAAGACACCACAAAGCCCTTAAAACAAGGAAGTGCTTCTTCTGAATCTTGGGCCTATCCCTCACAGCGACCTCTTACGGTCTGGCTGGGGCGCCCAGCTTGATACCAACAAGCTGCTTTAGAAAAGGCTTGCCTTGCCTTTTTGCACAGAAAGCAGGAAAAGAAAGGCAATGGCCGGCGCTGCCTGTGGGAAGAATTGGCGAAGCGGCTGCATTGGCACTGCTTGACCGACTGCGGCTTTTGTCTTATGGAAATCTGAGTGAGGAACAGTGTTCTCAGACGCAAAGGCAAGACCGGCTTTCTAGCAGAGAAACTGTGCTTCCATCTGCCAGAAGAGGGCGCTGCCTCCCTGCTGTCCATCCTCAAGGGGCTCCACGGAGTGGTTTTGCACATTGGCAGTTGCCAGCGGAAGGATCAAAGCGAAGTGAAGAAATCAAAGCCAATGAAAGGTCCCATCAGCGTCCTTGGCTAAGATATCGATACTCTGTTCATGATGGATTTTTTTTTGAATAAATTTTGATTTTTTACAAAATAAGGAATTAAATTGCCTTGATCATTAATTTGTTTGGCACTGCCCTGAATTTTGGGCCCAAAGCCATGATTTCACTGGACCCTCTCTAGTTCCCCCCAGCCTGGGAGATCTAACAGTCTGTGCATCGCAACACCACCAGCTCAGAGTCTGGTCGGTCAGGCAAGGTCTGAAGTTATACGGGCCTTTTTGTATCTGTAAACAAAGAATTAGCCAAGAGAACTAGTTTTGTGAAACCAAATGGATGCCTTTGATGTCACAGCATGGCCAAAGGCTGAGGCTCACTGTCTTTATCTCCTGCTTTCTTAGTCCTCATCTGTAAGATGGAAAGAGCACTGCTTTCCCTACAGTTTTTAGATGCTGCTTCTCGAATTCTCTCCGTGTGTATGTTACATATGAGTGCGGTGCGCATGGTGTATGCTCATGTATGTGTGTGTGGATGGGGACACCAAAGGAGGGTGTCAAGAGTCTGCCTCCACCCTCTTCATCTTCTTCCTTCGAGGCAGGGTCTCTCTGAACTTGGAGTGCCCGCCGTTTTTTGGCTAGACTGGCAGCCAACAAGTCCCTGTCTCCATCCCTCACAACCCTGGGGTTGTAGGTGTGTGTGAGACTACACCCAAGTTATTTCATGGGTACTGAGCTCCGAACTCAAGTCCTTGTGGTTGTATAGCGAGTGTTCCTAACCACAGGGCCATCTCTCTAGCTCCAAGATAGCATTTTTTTTTTTAACTACACAAATGAAGGACCAGGTGCTGTGCTGAGTTAGTGCTTCAGTTAAAAGCTAAAGTTTCACAGCTGTGCTAACTATATGGAAGAGATTATCTTCCGTCTTAAAGGTGAAGAAATGGGCACAGAGAGGTTTAGTTATATGTCCAAGGTCGAACAGCCAGTGACTGGAAAGTATATTTGCTCTAACCTCCAAACCAACATTCTTAACTAGAGCGGTTCCTAGCACCCCTGAGACTGTCCCAATGTGGAGGAGACTAGCACCTAGCTGCAAGTAGCGAGGAGGCTGTTGGACTGCACTGGACAGATCCACGACAGAGAATTACCTGGCCCTGAGTTGGTTAGCTTCCCATCACTGTAACACGAGAGACATGCAGAGAAGTGTTTCATTCTGGCTGTGTCTTGGACACCAAGCCCACGATACATAGGCTGTTTTTATGTGCAGCTCATGAAGGGCAAGTGCTTCATAGCAGGAACAGATATTAAAGCAAGGTTGCTCCCCTCAGGGCTGGAGCATGAAAGAAAACCAAAGGAGACCAGGGAGATGATGGCTGTTCCACAGTCTCCTTCAGGGCACACCTCTAATGACCTAAAACCTTCCACTAAGTGCCCACTTTTATAGTGTCCAGCTCCATGCTGGGGACTAAGCTTCTACCACATGAATCTCCATGGGGGTGGGGGTGGGGAGTACATGAAATGCAAGCTTCAGCAAGACCCCAAAAGTCTTCCAGAGTTAATCCCTGAGAATTAATTAATTAATTAATAATTAAATAATTATTCCAACGGTTGTTGCTACTGTTTTCTTTTGTCTGCATGGTTAGGGAAGGGAGTTCCTTTGGTTGCCCAGGGAAACTGAATTTCCTGGCTCAGCATCCATACTATCATGGAGAATCCAGGCTTTGGAGAATCAGCTGAGCACCTTATTTTGCATTCAACAGTGATCTATTAAGCACCTGCTACCTGCCCACCCTTTCCTGGTCAGCACACACCCATGATATCTGGGCCTATGAAGAGATGTCTAGTGAGAGGGCAGACGTTAGATGAGAAGACACGCAGCTCATTCATGATAATACATTGTGGTATCTGGAACAAAGCACAGGACCTGGGCCCCACTAAAGAGAAAATGCACTCTCTGAGAGTGTGGAATTACATCTGAGACTGGAGGCGGGAGTCCGGCTGAGCTAGAGACCCTGTCTCAGAGAAAGAGAACGAAAGACAGTTCAAAGAATTCTGAAGGCATGACAGTTGGGTTTTCCCTTCATAGGATGATTTTCTGTAAGCCCAAGCACAGCCCTATGTAGAAGCTGTCATGTGGGGTTGAAACCCAGAGCCCGTTTCACCAGCTGGTACAAAGGCACCTGCATAAATATAACTCTCATTGCAAAGGGAATGTGAAAACCAAATATGAGTGAGATGACCTAGAAGCACAGATTCGGGCTTCCCCAAATACCGTTTCCCAAAGCACTAACCAGTTTTAAGGATTGTTCAAATTTTTAATTACTTAATGTACTTATGTGTATGGGTGTTTTGTCTGCTCAGATGTCTGTGGAGGTCAGAAGAAGGTGTCAGATCACCTGAACTGGAGTTATAGATCATGGTGAGTGGCCATGTGGGTGCTGGGAGTTGAACCCGGTCCTTGGGGGGAAATGATCCAGTGCTCTTAACTGCTGGGCCGTCTCTCTAGCCCCCAGTTTTAGAATTTTTTCTTTTAAAAAATTTTTAAGCTTATTTATTTATTTTATGTTTGTGAGTGCTCTATCTGCATTTACACCTTTTCTGCTGGAAAAGGACATCAGATCCCACTATAGATGGTTATGAGCCACCTTCAGGTCCTCTGGGAGAGTAGCCAGTGCTCTTAACTGCGGAGCCATCTCTCCAGCCCCACAGTACGCTTTTTTAGTTACAAAACAAAGAAACATCGGTGAGAGTACAGCGTAGGTGGCTTCAGCAAATCGGGAAAAATCCATGTTTTGGGTCTCAGCTGTTATCTGATGACATTTCTTCTTGTGTGTTTTAAAAGGGTTTTAGCTGACTGTCACAAGGATGGCGATAAATGGCCTTTACAGAGCGCTAAAGATGGCTGCAAGATCATTGGACTCGGCAGTTCTATTAGTCAATCAGCTTTATAGAATCTGTGACACGGGTGTGGCTTTTTTTTTTTCTTCTGGGCCCTTCAGTTCAGACAGGTGGATTTTGCTAGAATTACACAATCTTAAGTGGTGCTGCCGCTTCACCCTACCCCGAAGGCTGCTGGTGATTGGGATGACGAAGCCATCTGTGCACATTACAGGATCATGCCAAGCGGCTCACTCATTCCTGCACGCGGCAGCATCAGGTGGAAACACCTGTTTGGCTTGTGCGGCCCATCCCCGCCCGTCATGGGGACTTTACTGCAGGTACCTTGCTTCTTTCTGATGCCTCTGAGGGACTCAGCCTGTGACACTTTTGTTCTTCATAGGACCTCCATTTTGCCTTCCTCAGATCCCAAGGTATTCTCGGCCTCATTTCATTCAAACGGATCCTCACCTTATAACACCTCTGGAGATGGTTAAAGAGCCAACGCACATATGTGTCCACTGGCAAGTAGTCTCCAAATCTTTATTTCCCCAGCAGATGGCTCCTTCAGCCCAGTGCCCTCTGGGTGGACACTTCTAAGTATATGAACTGTCAGAAAAAGACATGTCCAGAGATCAAAACTGATCCCCCACCTCCACCCCTGCCCGCTGAGATTACAACCGACTTTAAGGGGACTGGTGCCTAAATTAGGCATGCACTTTCCTTACAAGGGCAAAGAAGACAGAGGCCTCCCTAAAGGCCAACCCATTGTCTTCATTTCCTTGGGGATTAAAACCCATGATCATGAGTTCCTCAGAGAAGTGAAAGTGGCCCAGAGGGATCCAGTAATTCCTGTTATCAGCAGGCTTTATAAGTCAGTGAGCCAGGAGCTGTCTCTTCATTCAGACGGACGACGTCCCAGGAGAACAAAGATGTTCCTGCATCAGGCTTCCTTGCGCTTGGCTTCCTTGCTGCTCTTCTCTCTTGCCCTCCATAGTGCCCTGGCCCTGAAGCTCTGCTCCTTCAATGTGAGATCATTTGGAGAGCGGAAGAAGGAAAACCACAATGCCATGGACGTCATTGTGCAGGTGAGTTGTGTTTGAGTCCTGGCCACCCCTTACACCTTTTCTGCAGCGTCAGACTTAAGGGCCCTGAAATTTGCTCTCAAGATGAGGTAAGGACAGCGGTAACTACCATTGCAATGACTGCCTCAGGTCCTGGTGCTTTCCGTCACATCTTCAGACCACTGTTATCTGATGATATTTCTTCTTGTGTATTCCAAAGGTATTCTAGGAAGGTGTTGTGCCTTCCACAGGGGTGTTGCAAGGTTGCTGAGCAGGTAAACATGATGCTTTTGCCAGAGTCTGGGCAGTAGATAGTTCCAGCTATGTGCTGCTGTTCTGATGGTTTTAGCTGAACATACTGAGTGTGTGTGTGTGTGTCAGGCACTATAAATACATGATCCCATTTGTCAACCTCACGAGCAAGGACTATTGTTCCCCGGTGGAGAAGATGAACTCAGCAGAGTGATGCAATGCTGGGTAGTTCCCGGGAGGAGCATTGAGGAAACTGGTACAGCCTTGTCTGCTTCATCTTTATAATCGTTGGCAAAACGTGCATTCTCTCTCTCCTTCTCTTCCTCCTTTCCTCTCTATCTCTCTCCTATCATCCCTTCATACCTCTCCCCCATTGATCTTCCCCCAAATCAAAATTCTATGCTTTCTCTGCTTGTGGATATTGCTGTTCTTGGGTAATATGACCAATGTCCAGGGAAACTGCCTACATTTTTCTGGAGTCAGTTGACTCTCTGTCCCATGGGCTGATTTATTTTTGATACTTGGACTCTGGTGGAATGGCTATTACTTAAAAACAAACAAACAAACCCAGTGAGATTAGGGATGTACTTCAGTTGGTAGACTGCTTGCTTAGCATTTGTGAAGTCCATCCTTGGCATTGCATGAACCAGGCATGGTGCTGCCCACCTGTAACTTCAGCACCAGGGAGGTAGAAAGAGTAAGAAGGTCAAAGGGTCAAGGTTATCTATGACAATATAGCAAATTAAAGGTCAGCCTGGTCTACATGAAACCCTATCTCAACACACACACACACACACACACACACACCAACAAAAGAGGCCCCCATGTGTGGTGAAAATGACAGCAGCCCTAGGCTCAGACCCCATCTATCCCCAGAGGAACTCAAGAGTCCTTCTCTTCCCGGTGCCTCCCATAGAGTGGGTTCTCCCACTGAGTGGCTGGTAAGGCTGGTGACTGAAGCCCAGCGGAGCTGAGATGAAGCTGGTATTATGCTACTGTTGGACAGAGAGGACACAAGCAGAAAGCCTGCTGTGCTCTTACCAAAATAGTTCTGGGTCCTAGGTGACTCTGTCCTTTAGATGATAAGCAAGAAGCTCTAGACATTGTGGTTTTACCAGGACAGCTGAGCCAAGCCCGTGGGAATCCTAACACCATGGCTGAATGGAGACATCTGACGTGCAAGAAAACGATTTCCCAGTTTCTTCACATGTAGCCTAGTGGCGCCTGGGGACTTAAGTGACTATCTACAGCCCTAACTTATTCATCCCTGGAAATGTTGCCACACTCTTGGAGGCTGTGTTTTTGTACTCTGGTGATTCCGTTCCTCCACACAGCATCTCCTCTGAGCTGTGAGTCCCACCAAGTGTGCCTAAAGTCTTTGTCAAGGCTTTATCCCATTCTCATAAAGCCATTGTGCAAACAGAAGCCAATCCCTTGGAAACCACCAGAGCCATCACAGAGCAGTGGTGGTTGACTGCAAATACCTGGTGCTCGATTAGCAAGTAAGGCTTGTATGGCTCAAAGGTAAAGACACATTTGCCACCAAAAGAATGCAAACAATCCAAGTAGGAAAACATCCATTTTAGTGATGTAAATGTACCACGATGGGGGGCATTATGTACCACTAGAAGTTGTGCTTTAGGAGAGTATCACCATCATTTCTCATGAGGTCTATGCTGGGCAAACTCCCTCTGTAACCAAGGACAACCTTGAATTTCTAAGCCCCTTGCTTCTGCTTTCTGAGTGCTGGGATTAACAGCATTTGCTATCATACATGGTTTATGCAGTGCTTGAGACTGAATCCAGGACTTTGTGCATGCTAGACAAGAATTCTGCCAACTGAGTCAGTCACGCCTCATCTGCTGGTGTGGTCCCTTCACAGCTCCACAGCCCTCTTTATAATTGGTTACTCAGTGGGTGTTAGTAAGCTGAATGCTAAGGGAAGGTGAGCAATGGCCTGTTTATATTACAGACTCCCTTCCTGGCCACGGAATAGCCAAGGAGATTAGCATGCCAAAGGCCAAGGTTCCTCTCTTGTGTGACCCATTGGCAAAGCGCAAGAGTAAGCCAGGGCTCAGATTCCCTTTCCTGAGAGCACAGCCAGATTTCCTGTTGACATCCCTGTTCCTTGCTTACCAAGCACTTCTGAGCCCCGAATCTCCAGCTGATACTGGTTTCCAGTTTCCTTGCTGTCTCTGGGAAGTTTTCTCAGAGAAAAATCTGCAAGATTCTGTTGTCCAAATTCTCAAAATGGCAGAGGTTGAGGAAAAGCCATATTTTCTTCTGGTTCCTGCTTCTTGGGAAGCGACTCCCTGGTGGTCCTTTCAGAGCCAAGCTCTGGGTGGACCCTTCCCTTCAAGCTTTCCTCGGTGCCAGATTCCTGCATGCTCACAGGATGGAGTCACGGTCTGGAGGGCAGATATGCTCTGCACTATGCTGCCAAAATCCTCTGAAAGCAACAGTCTGTGGTGGGGTGAGCATGGCTAGTGTGGATGGGATCCAGATAAGTAGTGCCATTGATGCTCTGAGGGTGAGGGAAGGGACAGTCTGGAGAGGTCTAGAAAGATCTTGGGTGGAGACATACTCACAAAATCCTACCTAATGTCTTTAAAGAATAAACAGCATAGCATGTTGGGGAAGACCTAGGGTTCAATCCACTTCTCTACCACTTATGTGCCTCACCACACCGGGTGGACTTACTCTCTGGTTCCAGTTGTCCCATCTGTAGCATGGACAGGATAACAAAGATGATCAGATCATGAGGTTGAACTTGGACCCAGCACATAACACTGCAGAAAAGAATGATTATCATGTACTCTAAGGCCTGAGAAGGGTGACAAGCCACCCCCATCTACCAGGCCAACCCCAGTGCCTTGGACAGTCTGACACAGGTTCTCGACCTGATGGATGTGTAAACTGAAGGACACAGGAGACTCACCAAGGCCCAGCTTAGTGTCAGACAACTACCAGTGACTGGAAAGGAAAACACAAGATGACCAGGCAGCGTCCCTCGTGCTCTACCCATGCTAGCGAAGGGCAGATGACACAGTGTTGACAAGCTTGTCCCTGATGCAGTCTGTCTAGTGTAGACAAGTGGGAGAGACAAATCATGGGTTGAACCTGGCTCTTCCCAACTAGCTATGAAAACCTGAGAAGTTACCTCAGCCCTCAGAGCATTGGCTTTCTCGGTGATAAAGTAGGACAAGGCTAGGGAGATGCTTGAAGTGAGATGCTTGCTGACCCGAGCATGAGGAGCTGACTTTGATCCCCCAGAACCCATTGTGAAAAGTCCAGATGTAACGGTACACACTTGTCATCTCAGTCTGAGGAGCAGAGATGGTGGGATTGCTGGGGCTCCTTGTGCAGCTAGCCTAGCCTGATTTTCAAGCCAGGCCCCAGTGAGAGACCTTTTCTCAAAGGAAAGATGGAAGACTCTTGAGGTTGACTTCTGGTCTCCATATGTTCTCACATACAAGGGTATATTCACACCCATAAACATAGGCGCCCACCTCCCTACACACACACACACACACACACACACACGTGCACGCGTGTGTGTGCATGCACAGTAATATTAGTAGAAATGTGAAAATCCTTGCCTGTAAAAGGTACTCAACCACAGCGCCTTAGAAATAATAAACTACAGACCACCTACCTAGCTGGCACTGCCCTAAATTCCTACTTCATCCTACTTCCATTGTAAAGGGTCAAAATGGGAATCAAAGAGTGTGAACGTGTGTTTGTCTTTGTGTTTTGAGAAAGTGTCTCACTATGCAGCCCAGGCTAGCCTCAAACTCACACAGATCTGCCTGCTTCTGCCTCTTCACGCTGGGATTAAAGGTGTGTGCTTTACACCCACCGAATGTGTGCATTTTAAAGTCACTTCTGGAAAGGTCTGGTAGTTTCCAGTGACTGAGCAGCATGCTGGCTTGAGGCTGGCACATGGCTCCTGATGTGTACTGCACGGCCAGTGCTGTGGGTTTCACCTAGAATCGAGGCTTCCTGATCAGTCAGTCCTTAGTCCCGGCTTCCTAAAGTCTGCATCCCTGGTCCCGGGAACGTGGACTCCACTCTTCTGCAGATATAACTGGAGATGCTCTGGACATAGAGGCCCAGTGGCTCTCCATGACTTGCTTCGCCCTCGATAGCCACATTCTGTAGAGCTAAGTCCCCAGCATTCCATTACTCAGAGCCACGTGGTCATCCAGGGGTGTGAGCTCTTTCTGCTCCCTGATGGCAGCTCACCCTGACAAAGTGTCTCTTGTATTTTTCCTCCCACTGAATTATTTCTAACCCTTTCAGGGACCAAAGGCTATCTCTTTCCAGGAGTCTTCCCTGATCTTCTGACAAAAGCAATTAATTATTCACAGACATATCCAGCATGTCCATGGCTTGTGACTTTCATTTAGCACAAATTCTACTTTTCTTCCATTATACTGCCTAGCTTCCATCGGACTCTGAGTCTCTGAGTGACTGTATTTTAACAGCTGAGCGTAGTGGAACCTACAGAACTGAGCTGGAACCTTGGCTTCCCCACCTGTATTGGCTGTGACTTTAGAATAATTGCTAAAATACTCTGAGTTTAGTTACTATCTAGATCTAATGGGCTAACCATCATGTCCCTTTTTCAGTGTTCCTGTGAAGTAGGTTCACAGTAAATGTTAGCTCTTATGTTGTTACCACTGTAATTACGCCTTCTGAGATCTGTAGCCTTGTACCTTTACCCATTAAGGTTTAATATGTATTTATTGTTATCACCACTACAACCACTCAACCCAAGCTATAGGATGTGTAGGAGTATCACAGTCAGGAGTGTCTCTGGTTGGTTGTTTACATCGAGATGCCAGTGTGGTTATTTTCGAGCCGTGTGGCTGGATAACATGACCTTGTCTGAGCTTCAGTCTCCTCATCCTTAAGATGGACATGCCAGCTGAGTGTGGCAGTGCCCACCTTTAATTCCAGCACCCTGGAGGTAGAGACACGCACATCTCTGAGTTCCAGGCCAGCCAGGGCTATATAGTGAGACCCTGCCTCAAACAAAGAAATTAATTAAAAAAAATTAAAATGGGCAGAAAATAACTTAAATAGCAACAACCAAACCACTGGGCACATGATTGCACCCCATGTGATCCTAGTTACTCAGAACTGAGGCAGGGGAATCACTTCAGACCTGAAGTTTGGGACCAACCTAAGCAACGCGACCCTATCTCAAAACTACAGCAAACATCAACAAAACACAAAAGAGACACAGCAAAAAGCTGTTCTCAGTTCAGGAAGAGATTTACGTATGCTAGCAAGCACCTGACTATGGTACTTGGAACCCAGCAAGGGCCTGATGAAAGATTTGGTGATTTACAGTAAACAGTCCTGGAAATTCTCTCTCTGCAGATCATCAAACGCTGCGACCTTATACTCCTGATGGAAATCAAGGACAGCAGCAACAACATCTGCCCCATGCTGATGGAGAAGCTGAACGGGTAAATGGGGAGAGGGACGGGCCCCCAGAGAGCTTAAAGTCAAGGGCAAAGGCACCCACCCGACTGGGTCTGCTGCCCTCCTCCTACCTGCATGGTGAGCTCTACACCAGGAATAAATAGTGGGTGTTTAAAATCAGCCCCAGGCCGGGTGGTGGCGGCACATGTCCCAGCACTCGGGAGGCAGAGGCAGGCGGATCTCTGTGAGTTTGAGGCCAGCCTGGTCTACAAGAACTAGTTCCAGGACAGGCTCTAAAACTACAGAGAAACCCTGTTTTGAAAAAAAAAAACCAAAATAAATAAATAAAATGAAATAAAAATTAAAATCAGCCCCAGAACATTTGAGCGATTCCCTGGTGAGCTGGTGGACCTCAGAAGTGGCACTTGGACGGAACCTGAGAAACTTAACTCCAAGTAGAAAGCACGAGTGAGTGCAATGGTTCAGAGCCAAAGCAGGAGTCTCTTGGTTTGTTCTCTTTCTTCTTTCTATTCTAGTGTGTGTGTGTGTGTGTGTGTGTGTGTGTGTGTGTGTTCCATAACACATGTAGAGGTCAAAGAACAATTGGCAGGAGTCGGATCTCTCCTTCTTCCCTTTGGGAGCTGGACACCAAACTCACACTGTTAGGCCTGATGGGAGCATTTTTACCTGTTAGGCTGTATTGAAGACTAAAAGTAAGGATTTCTGATTCTGCCTGGATCGTCTCTTGTCTCTGTGATTCCCACAGAAGCAGGATGAAGCTTGTGGGGTCTGAAATGAGAAGGTCTCAAATCCTAGCCTTGTATTGTTAAATCACACAGTAGGGGCTGGGTGGTGGTGGCACATGCCTTTAATCCCAGCACTCTAGAGGAAGAGGCAGGCATATCTCCGTGAGTTCGAGGCTAGCCTGGGCAGTTCCAGGACAGCCAGGGCTACAGAGAAACTCTGTCTTGAGTCTGGAGAGATAACTCAGCTCAGTGGTAGCTGCTCTTCCAGAAGACCCAGGCTCAGTTCTTAGACAATTGTCTATAACTCCAGCTCCAGGGGACTTGACACTCATGGCAAAACACACATTTGTTTTTTTTTTTTTTTTAAAAAAAAAGAAAGCCTGTCTTAAAGAACCAAAAGGAAGAAGAAAGAAGGAAAGTAAGGAAGGACTATATGTGGTACTATATGCCAGCACTCGGGGTGTGGCAGCAGGAATGTGGGTAGGGACATCTGTGGTACTATATGTTTCAGTGCTGGGGATTTGAAGGCAGGGATGGAGGTAGGGGCAGCTGTGGTACCAAATGCTACTACTGGGGCAGGGGTGAGGGGTTAGGCTAGGGGCAGATGTAGCAAAAATGTGTTTAGAGGTCTGTTTATTTTTCACAACACACTAAATTTTGTTTTGCAGGAATTCACGGAGAAGTACAACCTACAACTATGTGATTAGTTCTCGACTTGGAAGAAACACATACAAAGAACAGTATGCCTTCCTCTATAAGTGAGTTTCATCTGTCTGAACTGAACTCAAGTGTATATGTTGGATCAGGTATGGCAGAATGCCCCTTTAATCCCAGTCCTAGAAAAGGAGAGGTAGGCAGTTTTCTGTGAGTTTTGGCTAGCCTGGTCTACACAGTTCCAGGCTAGTGAGAGTTACAAAGTGAGATCCCATCTCAAGTAAAACAAAAACATTCGATTCTGGTCTCAAAGCGGTTATCATAGCAGTCAGGATCTTGGCTGTCAAACCCATGCGCTGGGACTGGAGCTCAGCTGCTGGAGGGCTTGCTCACCCAGTCCATGCAGAGCCTGGCTTTCACCCCACTTGGAAGGTAGAGGTAAAGGGATCGGACTTCAGGCAACACGGCAAGTTCAGAATCAGCCTGAGCTATATGAGGGGAGACCCTGTTTCAAAACAAATCACCTGAAACTTTCACAAGAAAATCGTTCAATCATTAGCTGGAAAGCACAGCAGCTTTATGACAACTGCTGACTGGCCAGGGTAGGAGTTCTTTGTCCTTTGTGGGGAAGTCCTGGCTCAGCTCATCTGAGCACAGGACAAAGGACTTTCTCTGGTTTCCTCCCATTCTTCTGTTTAATGTCTGAACATTCACCTGCTGTGTCCCAGACAGCATGTATAACTCAGATCCTCAGCTCACGGAGAAGAGCTGATTCTACCTGTTCTTAGGGGAAAGACCCTCCCAAAGTTGAGCCTGCTCTGGAAGCTACTTAAGTCACGACCAAAAAACTCAGTGAGAAGAAATTCTTTCTCCCTTCTCTTGTAGGGAAAAGCTGGTATCTGTGAAAGACAAATACCTCTACCACGACTACCAGGATGGAGATGCCGACGTGTTTTCCAGGGAGCCCTTTGTGGTTTGGTTCCAGTCACCCTTCACTGGTGAGACCATGACCCTGTATGAGTTGCTCTTGAGGTCTCTATGACCAAATACACAACACAGACAGCTCAGAGGAGCAGGGGAGATTTATTTATGTTTTAGAGGATTCATCCATCGCTGCAGCTTTGTGGATTCGGAGACTGTGGTAAGGCGGAACATTCTGTCAGTGAGAACATAGGTCACAGGGCTTCTTCACCTCATGGTGGAGAGGTGTAAGAAAGGCCCGAGGCCCTAGGGATAACCTCGGAAGTCACTCCCCAGTGACCTGCTTCCTCCATCAAAACCCCAGGTCTTAAAGTTTTCACAACCTCCCAAAAATAATGCTGCCATCTGGGGACCAGGCATTCAACACACAGACCTCTGAGAGACATTTCATATTTAAGCCATAACAGCCCATCTCCTGGTGACCTCTCCAGCAGCCCAGGAAAGGGCCCAGCCCTGAGCATGTGTGACGTGCTTGCAGAGTCATGCATTGTCTTATGGGATCCCTGAGGTGAGAGTTAACGCTTGAGAAAAGCAGCTGCCCTGAGAATCCCAAGATGTAGGACCTTTTAGCCTGGATACTTTTCTCAGGATCATTGATAACTTCACCCTCCACAGATTGCCAGAAGGGAGTAAAATTAAACCGGGTGTGCTTTGACCCCTTGCTACTTAGTCTATGTCTAATGGCCAGTTTCCTGTTATTCTTCCATGGACTGCAATGTAGGGACTAGGACTATCCCCAATTCAGATTTGAGAAGACTGGGGTTTTAAAGGCATTATCACTTGCTGAAGTCCAACTATTAGAGCAGATGAGCCAGAATTTTAAGTCAGGACACGGGCCCAGAAGCCCATATTCCCAATCTCCACTAAACTCAATAGAATGTCAAAATTCACCAGATGTGGTGGCGCATGCGTGTACTTTTCAGCATTCAGGAGGCAGAGAGAGAAGGACCAGCAGACTGGGGCCAGCCTGAACTATATTGTGAGACCCTGTTCTCAAAATACTAAGTGCCAAAACTACAGCCTGGTGAAAGCGCTGGTGCCTAGCATGTACAAGGTTCTGAAGTCAATCTTCTGCACTGAAGGAACAGAAATAAAAAAGTCAAGAATTAAAATTAGTGTATAAGTTTCAGCATGTAAAGTCAAATGCTTTTCACTACCTACTATGTGACCTTCTGAGGGCCTAAGACTCACAAAGTCCATGCCGTCATGACATCGTATTGTCGAAGGAATACAGAGTGTGAATGAACAGATATATGCAGAATTAAAGCAGGCCTGCCTGTCTCTATCCCACCCTGGTGAAACTCTCAGAACTACAGAATTAACTATCTCTGCCCTGGGTTAATTAACTTGAGGAAAATAACTTTGGGAAAATAACTATAAGAGAAGTGTGTGAATTCTCAGTAGTGGAGAAGAGGGACTATTGAGGGCAATGAGTGCAATTATCCTTTTATTTATTATCCAATTTACTTATGGCTGAGCAGGGAGAGGCTTCACCTCCAAGTACTTATTTTTTCCTCAAAGAGAGGCAAGACTCTGTGTATTACTAAGTAGATCTGCTTTTCCTGAGCCTCTACGCCCAGTCTTTCCTACCCTTCATCTCTCCCTTGGGTAAAGAGTTTACCCTGTTGTATCAGGACTGAAAACAAATGAGTTAGCAATTTTATCCATTTATCTAACTTTCATTCATGAATTCAATCAAGAAATAGTTTTGAGCACCTTGGGGTGCCCGGTGTTGTACTAGGTAGTGCAGACAAGAAGGTGAATTGAAAATAGAAGCCTGGCGTCGTGGAGTTGTCTCTTGCGGGTGAAGCATAGAAGAGAAGCTTACAGAGGATGAAGGAGTGATAAGCAGGACATATCAAACAGCGCAGAGGGATCTTAGAGGGGTGACTAGTCATGGCCATTAGAGGCAGACAAGGTCTGTTACCATGCAGATGGCTGGAGACAGGAAGGCACCGAGAGTCAAATCTCAGAGGTGGGAATGTGGTGAAGTGTGTAAGGGAATTACCAGAAAGGCAGAGCCATGAGCTGGAGGTGCGGCTAAGGAGTAGGTCTCCCGCCTCCAGGGACAGCCTATAGGTCTGAGGCCCAGCTTCCTGTGGGAAAACAGTATCTTCAGTGTTACGTAAGGAAACACACATCAAAGCAAGAGTAACCTGGCATCTTGCAAAATGGTGTGCCACAGCCCGAGCCAGGTGAGCAACCATCCTGAGGAGCAACATTCAGTTAGTTTTTATTTTAAGGCAGGTGGTGACTGCGTCTCATGCCATTGGTGAGAGGTTGACCACACAGTCTCATGTGATTGGCTAGCTCATAGTCTGTGTAAAGGAGAGTATGGTAGAGTAAGGGCTTGAGAATGTCCAGGTCTTGGGCAAACAGGCGTGCACATACACAAGAGGTTCATAAGATGGCAGAGGTTTATGGAATATTGGCCCATTAGAGGTTAGCTACCTTTGATAGAAAAAAAAAATTTTTTTTCCCTCACATCCCCTCTGTGGGTCTCAAGCAATGTCCTCTTGTAGCCTCTACACATGAGGCAGGAGTGGGATCCAGGCAGAGAATGAGAGGTTGCCTCAGATCAGAGCTCCTGCAGACAGGAGGGCAAGGCCTGGCTACTAGGCCCACCCGGGGAACCACACTTAGGAGCTTTTGGTTCTCACTCTCTTTCTCTCTGTTGTTTTGCGGTCTGGATACAAGGTTTTGCTGTGTAGCCCAGACTAACCCTGATTTTTACAATCCTCCTGTTTCCTGTTTTCCAGAGCTGGGATTAGGGAAATATACCACCGCACCCTGATTATCATCTCTTTGTTTTGTTTTTGAGATAGGGTCTCACGTACTCCCGCCTGGCCTTGAACTCCTGACTCTTCAGCATCCCCCACCCCTTGAGTTATGAAACTGCAGGCCTAGGCAACCATGCTTTGTTTTATGTGATGCTTTGGATCGAACCCAGGGCTGTGTGTGTCTATGCACGTGCAGGTGCCCAAGGAGGCCGGAAGTCTTGGATCCCCCTACAACTGGAGTTCTAGTTGACTGTGAGCTACCCAACATAGGTGGAAAACAAACTCCAATCCTTTGCCAGAACAGTACATGCTCTTAACCACTGAGCCACCTCTCCAACACCTCCATCCTTTCTTGTTCTTTTTTGAAACAGGGTGCTACTATATAGACCAGGCTGGCTTTGAACTTATAGACACGAGTTGCCTTCAACTCCCAAGTGCTGGCATCAAAGCCTTGTACCCCCATGCCCCCTGCTTTCTAATTTTTTAGGTAAATTTTATTATTATTATTATTATTTTCTTCTTGTTTGCAAAAGGACTATAAACTTGCCAGCCTCCGTTTTTTTTTTTCCTTATAATACAAAAGCTAAACATGTTACCAAAGTCCTTGATCAGGGGCCTGGCTCCAGATTTGCCCCCTGCTACCCTGAAAGTGCAGACTGAGACAGTGGTGGTAAAACAAGGAAGGAATTTGATTGTCAGTATGGCAACAGGAAGCAGACAAGTGTCCTAGCCTTGTCCTGGGGGATCTTGGTAAGACCTTGAGATTATAGAGGAAAGAAGAAAAGCCAGGAGGGGTAGAGTTAGACGTTGGTCAACAGTCTTGGTATGATGTCATGTGTTTTATTACTGGCTCCAGGTCCCCTGGAGGACACTGTAGCTTCCTGGGGTTAGAACCGAGGTTTCTGTCAGGGATCGATCTGCCTGCAAGGTTCACTGTTTCTGGATTACATCTCTCTGTCTTTAGCCTTGGGGGATGAGAGACTGGCCATCCTGTTGTCTCCTTAAATGGTGAATGTGTCAGCAGAGTCTGAGCCAGAGTTTAAGGTAGAAGAGGAGACAGATGCAAAGCAAATGCACGGATTCCAGACGTTCATCTTCCTTCAGCCAGGCCTTGGACATCTACAGCCCCAGAAGACAGCTTTAAACAAAAGCAATCACTAAGTCCTGGTTATAAGTAACCTTTATTTATTTGTTATAGGTTATTTTTTCACTTTTTTTTTTTTTGAGGCATTCTCCTGTAGCTGAGGCTGGCCTCGAACTCCTCCTCCTTCTGTCTCAGTTTCCTAAGTTCAGGACTACAGATACGTGCCACCCTATCCAACTGGATTTGTTACTCTTAGAAAGAACGACATAGCCATAAAACATAAATAATTTTCGGTACTCCAAACAAACCAAGAGAAAAAAATAAAGATTTGAAAAAGGAAGGGCAGGTGAGATCACAAAACACACACACACACACACACACACACACACACACACACACACGGACTGTTAAAAAAGAAAGGAAAGGAAGCAGAGCTAGAAAGAGAGAAAAAAACCACAGTGCCCACAGTGCCAGGCGTGACCACGATCACCAGCTTCCTCTTAGCTGGGGAGAGCACAGGTTGGAGAACGGAGTCTTTCATGTCCTGACAACAAGCAGCCTGGTGTCACTAAAGCACCGGAATCTCAGCCACCGTCTCCGGCGCTCTGTCACGATGCCCTCACAAGGCAGCGGTGTCTGTTAGAGGGGCCTTCTTCAGGCAGTGTTAGGGGGCCCTCAACGGGTAGTGTGTCACCTCCTGTTTGTTATTCCTCAGCTGTCAAGGACTTCGTGATCATCCCCTTGCACACGACGCCTGAGACTTCCGTGAAAGAGATTGATGAGTTGGTTGACGTCTACACGGATGTGAAACGGCGGTGGAAAGTACAGGTGAGGGCTCTGTGCTTGTCCCGTTCCCATCAGGCAGCACCCAGTCATTCAATAGGAGGGTGAGGGGGCGGAGTACATGCAAGCTGCAACTGATGTACAGTTTTTCCTCAGCCCTAAACATCCTTGCTAAGGCTTCTCTGGCCTGTCCCTGTGGGTCCTGGGAATTAGTGCTCTGCTGCGTGTATAATGGATGCCAGTATTATTAACTGTTTGGTCCTAAGGCCTATGCACTGTGCTGAGACTACATATGAACAAGTGGACTTAATCCTCTCAATAATCCAACAAGGAACTGGGGAGATGGTTCACTTGATAAAGTGCTTGTCCTGCAAACAGTCCTCAGAAACCATAAAACAAAACCACATACACACACACACACACACACACACACACACACACACACACAGAGAATACTGGACATGCTGGTGCAAATTTACATTTCCCGTGTTGAGGACAGAGGCAAACAAATCTCTGGGACTCAATAGTTAGTTAGTTTAGCATGCTTGGCAAATTCCATGCCAGTGAGAGATGCAACCACAGAAAAAAGAAAGCAGCGGTACCTAAGGACAGCACCCAAGGTTGTACTCTGGCCTCTACAAGCATACACACGTGTACCTGCACTATGCACACCCACTACACACACTAAGTCATTCCACAAGCACACACATATGTGTACCTGCACTGTGAACACCCACCACACACACTAAGTCATCCCACAAGCACACACACATGTACCTCTACTGTGTACACAACCACACACACTAAGTCACCCCACAAGCACACACATATGTGTACCTGCACAGTGTACACAACCACAAAAGGTCATTAATCAGTCCCAATTTATAACTAAGAACAGTGAGGCCTAGGAGGTCAGGAGTGTTTCAGAGGCAAGAGGCAAGATCACAAAAAGGAGAAGCAATGATGGTGTTCGCTCCTCAAGACAGCCATCACCTGTCATTCGGAAGATAGAGACACTGTCATCTGTGGCTCTGCGGGTTTGAGGAAGTGCTCAGACGGCTCTCCTGCCAAATTCCTCTTTTTTCCTTTCGGAATGTGATGCCAAAAGTCCCTCTTTCTCTTCAATTCCCCCACTCGAGGTGCAAAATGAGTCAAGTGTGGACACAGCTGGTCAGAAGTGACCATCAAGAGGGCCAGGGGTGCCTTTCGTTGCTTATTTGTAAGTTCCCGAATAAACGATGAGTCCCCACATTCAGCACGAATACATCGAGTATCTGGGGAAGAGACTGTGGCTGATGGACCTTCAGGAAGGCAGACTGAGGTTTGGCCCTGGGTTATGTTGCTTAATCCCTCTGGTTGTGTGGCCTAGAGCAGCCCGCTTAATTGCTCTTGTCTGTCCCTGCTGTGGTTCATGGTGGTTCAAGACATGTCAGTTGAGCTTGGTAAATCACTTCCTGCTGACTGGGGCACATAGGTTAGGGATAGCATTCTGTCTTTATGCACCTTAATCTCAAGGGAAACCCTAATTGCAGAGGTCAGAATGAAATGCTCTTAAGGAAAGCTCTCAAGTCAGCAATCATCCCAAACAATAGCACAAACAAGGAAATAAGATGTTTCCTCTGTAACTGCAGAATGTTAAAATTCTCTTCCCATGGCCTGTGGGGGATGGGATGCTTCCAAATCTTGGTGGTATAGGGTGGAGAAAAGCAGGTCACTCTCAGGCTGCCTCTCAAAGGATTGAGTTTTGATAGGAATTAGTTTCTGTCCTCCATACACTAGGACACAGAGAGATGTCAAAATAGCCATCACCGCATTGCCCCAGTTAACTTGGCTTCTTGGGAACTGAGGTGTTTGTTCGTTTACATTTGCTGCAGTGTTTATGTGAGGGGATATCTTAGCTGGATTCCAGTATTTCTCGTCTACCTATGCGCAGCAGGTTACAGAGATACTGTGACTAAGATCTGGATGGCACTGTGGGGCAAGCATCCTCTCTCCCACTCCTTGTTCTCACTGCCAGATCCTTCTTCAAACTCTGACTCACTTGGAACCTGTTTGTTCTCTCTTTTTTTTTTACTTTCTTTTTGTTTTATTGAGAAAAAAACAATTTCCGCCTCCTCCCAGCCTCCCACTCCCCCCCCCCACTCCTCTCCCCGTCCCCCCACTCCTCTCCCTCTTCCCCCACTCCTCTCCCCCTCCCTCTCAAGTCTGAAGAGCAGTCAGGGTTCCTTGCCCTGTGGAAAGTCCAAAGTCCCCCCCCCCCCATCCTGGTCTAGGAAGGTGAACATCCAAACTGGCTAGGCTCCCACAAAGCCAGAACATGAAGTAGGATCAAAACCCCGTGCCATTGTCCTTGGCTTCTCAGCAGCCCTCATTGTCCGCCATATTCAGAGAGTCTGGTTTTATCCCCTGCTTTTTCAGTCACAGTCCAGCTGGCCTTGGTGAGCTCCCAATAGATCAGCCCCACTGTCTCCGTGGGTGGGTGCACCCCTCTTGGTCCTGACTTCCTTGCTCGTCTTCTCCCTCCTTCTGTTCCTCATTGGGACTTTGGGAGCTCCGTCCAGTACTCCAGTGTGGGTCTCTGTCTCTATCTCCATCCATCGCCAGATGAAGGTTCTATGGTGATATGCAAAATATTCATCAGTATGGCTATAGGATAGGATCATTTCAGGTTCCTTAAAAAGGGAACACAGATAGAAACTGTAAGTTTGCTAGTAACATAGCAGTGCCCCAGAACCCGGTGCATGAAGTAACTCTGGGCTGTTTCTCGCTGTTCAGCAGGCTGCAGAGCCAATGCCAGTGGGGAAGAGCCAGGTTGTTCCTTCTGGGACCTCTGTCCCTGGCCTATAGATACTCATCTTCATCTGCTGTCTCTGTGTTGTCTTTCCTCTGTATCTCTCTATGTTCTAATCTCTATTTCTCTTACTCAAATTTATTTATTTATTTTTGTCATGCTGGGGATCAAAGCCAGGACCTCCTACTTGCCTGTGCTCTACCACTGAGCAAAACCAGTCCTGTTTCTATATAAGGGGCCACCCACCTGGCCTCATTTTTTAACTTTAATTATATCTTAAAAGTTCCATTCTCCAGCTGGGTGTGGAAGTGCACAGAGATCAAGAGGTGGATACAAGAGAATCAGGGGTCCAAGATCATCCTGGGCTACAGAGCTAATTTGAGGCATGCCTAGATTACATGAGACTCTGTATGTATTCACATTCTAGTGTATCAGGACCAGGAGTTAAAATTGGAATGGATGGGTCAGTGACATGGTTCAGTGAGTAAAAGAATTTGCTGTGCAAGTCTGACAACCAAAGTTATATCCCTAAAATCCACAGTAGAAGGACAGAAGAGAATCAACAAGTTTATATGTATATATATATATGTATGTATATTTATACATATATATGTATACACACACACTACACATATACACACAATAATAAGTTTAAAAGAAACAAAATATATTGGGAGGGGTCCAGTCCAAGTCCCAAAAGACCTCTTTGTAGCTGGGTGGCAGTGGCGCATGCCTTTAATTCCAGCGCTCAGGAGGCAGAGACAGGTGGATTTCTGAGTTCAAGGTCAATCTGGTCTACACAGCAAGTTCTGGGACAACTAGGGCTACACAGAGAATCCCTGTCTCCAATCTGAACAAAACAAAAAGACCTCTTTGTTTACTGGACATGAAAGGTGGGGCCCTTGCCGGTGGCTGACAATGAAGTCATGAATTCCAGTGCTTGCCAAGTGATGGTTCTAAAACATGTCTTTCAGAATTTCATCTTCATGGGTGATTTCAACGCTGGCTGCAGTTATGTTCCCAAGAAGGCCTGGAAGAACATCCGTTTGAGGACTGACCTCAACTTCGTTTGGCTGATTGAGGACCAGGTGGACACCACAGTCAAGAAGAGCACCGACTGTGCCTATGACAGGTAGGAGCCTCTACAGAGGCTGCTTGGTCCGTTCATACCAGGGCAGGCCGACCCCTTCAGCTAGAGAAAAAATCAGTTCCATTTCAGGACTGTTACTACAATTTCTTCCCTGGGGGTGTTGTAAGAAATGCCCCTCTCCCAGTCCCAGTTATAAACCTGGATAGAATTCACCCCCAGGGAACCCATGAGTTTGTTGGCCTAACTTAAATATCATAGGTGTGTGAGTGTTCCCCTGCCAAAATGCCACACCAGGGTCTTTACCCAGGAGAGATAATGACTTTGTTATAGTTGCATAGATAAAGCCTGGATCCTCTAGTCTTCCCAGGCTTGTATACTCTATTCCTCTCAGAAGCCGTGGGCAGTGGGGGATGAGTTGCATGCAACATGTGGTTGGGAGGGGCTGGATTCACAGGAAAGGATCTTGTAACTCACCCCACCCCTCTACGTGGGGATGTAGACAGTCAATAAGCCCAGCTGGATGATCAAGAGGGCACAGCTGACTGCCCATGGCGGTGGTCGTTTGGCTTGGAGGAGATCCCTGTACAAGGATCCTCTGGTTCCCTATGCAGTGCATGGATCTACATAGCCTTACATAGAAGTAGTACTATAGCTTAGCAGTGGCTGGCACTGACTTTGATGTCAGATGGGCCTGAATTCAAGTCCTGACTCTACCATTTCATGTGTTGTGACCAAAACTTAGACTCGTCGTGTCGATTGTATTGTAAGCTTCAGACTGAGGTATTAATAGTACCTTAGACCGGGTCTAGTGGTGCACGCCTTTAATCCCTACACTGGGGAGGCAGAGGCAAGTGGATCTCTGTGAGTTCGAGGCCAGCCTGGTCTACAGAGCTAGTTCTAGGACAGACAGAACTATTACACAGACAAACCATGTCTCAAGCAAGCAAACAAACAAACAAAACAAAACCAAAAATAGAACCTCAGTTGTTGAGATATAATGAGGACTAAATGAAATAACGCATAGAAAGCTTTTAACACAGTGCCTGGCACATGACAAGTGCTAAATACATTTGTATGTGTTTAGATGGCACCTAGATCATTCAGGTAGGTATGGCCACAGATAATTCCTGTGCTATCACCAATTCTATCCCAAACATATACCACAGCTGGTCACTGCACCACCATCACTGGTGAGAGAGACAGCCTACATGTATATCTTAACCAAATCTTTCTGATCCTCAGGTGTTTGATAAATCAAAGCAGGGGAGGTGGCTCGGTATGTAAAGGTACTTACTACACAAGCATGGTGAATTGAGCTTGATTCCCAGGACAAATGGAAGGAGAGATTCGGCCTCACAAAGCTATCCTTTGATCGCACACATTTGTAGTAGCATGCTCCCCAGTATATAAGTAACTTTAAATTTTAAAATGAGCGCATTTAACGCAACAATATTTGTACTTTGATTTGATTTTTTTTTTCTTTTGGTTTTTCAAGATAGTCTTTCTCTGTAAAGCAGCTCTGACTGTCCTGGAACTTGCTCTGTAGACCAGGCTGGCTTGAATTCACAGAGATCCACCTGCCTTTGTCTCCTGAGGCCTGGGAGTACAGGCACGAGCCACTACACCTGACTTGAATACTTTTCAAATTATTACTACACATAAATGCAGTTACATGTGTTTAAATAATGACTATTGTTGTAATTTAAACTTACCCTGGGTTTTTTCTTTTTTAATCAATTAATTAATTTTTGTTGTATGTGCATTGGTGTTTTGCCTGCCATGTATGTCTGTGAGAGAGTGTCAGAGGGAGTTACAGACAATTGTGAGCTGTCATGATGTGGGTGCTGGGAATTAAACCCAGGTTCTTTGGAAGAGCAGTCAGTGTTCTTAACTGCTGAGCCATCCTCCAGCCCTCACTTCTTTCAAGAACTGTCAGCTTTGTTCCCTCAGTCAGGAGGGAAGTGTGGGTGCCCAAAGTGTGTGAATTATCAGGGACTATCCGCAGCACAAACCACAAACAAGTGGGGGAAACACAGTTCCACAGTGCCTTCCGTTCTCATCCCTCAGCTGACTGAGGAAGGAGTCTGAGAAGGTCATCGGCCAGGTGCGCTCACTTCTCAGGCCTCAAGGTCTCCTCACTGCCTTTGTTTCTCCTGGGGTTTCTGAGGTTGCAGATTAATTTTTGGTTTTTATTGTGCCAGCCCTCAAAAATGGAAGCCCAGGGCGAGAAGTTATAGCCTCCCAAGCACCCAGGCCTCTCTTCCCATTTTCAAATGTTTCAGCCAAGTTGGGCAGATGGCACTGGCTTACCCAACCATGTCAGCTGTGGGATCTTCAGCAGGTCAAACCCAGAAACCAAACCACCACTCAGAATTGGGAAAGCTCAGGGCAGAGCCATGGAAGGGCAGTTTTCACTAATTAGGCAGGACACTAAGACCACATAGACCTACCTGTTTCGCTTCCGGTGTCATATGCTAGAGTCCACTTCCTCTTTTTGTATATTACATTTGTGTGTGTGTGTGTGCATGCGAGTGTGTGGTGATGGTGGTGAAAGCAAGTGAGTACAGGTTCATGTGCCTGGAGGTCAGAGAACCATTGCCTTGATACAGGGCTTCCTATTGAATTGAAATTCAATTCTTTTGTTTAAGCTGGCAGTGATGTCTGGGGATCTGAATGACTCTGCCCCAGTGCTGGGGATACAGAAGGGCACAGACATGCCTAGCTTCTGTTGTAGGTGCTGGAGAGTCAAATCTATGTTTTCTTGCTTTAGACCAAGCCCTTCTTACCCACTGAGCCTTCACCCCAGTCCTTAAAGTCTGTTGATAATTTGAATACCACATTTTTATTTGGTGTCATAGCTGCAAATTATCTTTACATTCATTTCCCCCCTCTGTACTTTTCTTTCAATCCATCAATTTCTCATTAAAATAAATGAGCTCATTTTAAAGGAAATATCATGATACTGTACAAAGTAAGACTATAGTATCACTTGCCATTCATTGGTCAAAGGTGACAAAACAGACACCCAGGAGAAAGTGGTTATTCTAGAGAACACTTGGAGGTGGCAGTTTGCTCTCCTCTTGTTAAAATGAGGAATTAGGAAGGTTTCCAAGACAAGCTGGCACCGATCTGAGGTTTTTGCCAAAAAAACAATCAGCTCTAAGTGAAAAGGGACAGAGTAAAACAACATTCTCATACTACAAACCATTGCTGTACTGGGTGGCTCATATGTGAAATGTGTTCTAATACCAGCTGTGTTTGTCGTGCTGGGGCTACAGGCCTGTGATCACAGGGCTAACAGGGGACCGGTTCTGCTTTGAAACTGTAGGTGCCATCCTCTAGGGGAGTGTCTGGCTTGCTTTTCTGTTGCTGTGATAAACAATGTCACCAAAGGGAATCTGGGGAGGAAAGGGTTTGTTGTTGTTGTTTTGTTTTATCTAGTGTGTGTGTGTGTTGGTGAATGTGCGTGTTGCATGTGCATATGTAGGTTCAAGCACCAGGAGATGAGACAATATGTCTGTCTTATTGCCTTGGATAGGTTTTTCTTGCTGGTTATAGTCTATTGTTAAGGGAAACCAAGCCAAGAACTTGAGGCAGAAACAGAAGCAGAGACCATGAAGGGATGCTGCTGACTGCCCTGATCCCTCTAGCTACTCAGCTACTCTTTTTTTCTTTTCCATTTATTAATTTTCTTTTATTGAAAATAGATTTTTTTCATACAATATATTCTGATTATGGTTTCCTGTCTACCTACTCCTCCCAGTTCCTCCTCACCTCTCCTCCTTCCAGAAAAGCAAACAGGTTTCTAAGGAACAATAATAAAATACAATAAAATAAAACAAATCGGAATAGGACAAAACGACAAAACAAGGAAAAGAGCCAAAGAAAAAGCACAAGAAACATACATAGATGCAGAGACACATATGTTCAAATACATAGGAATTCCATAAAACCCCAAACCAGAAGCCATAATATATCTACAAAGGAGTTGTAAGATAGAAGAAAAATGAAGTCCTCGCTTAATATTATGACACAAAGAGCCTCCAAAGATGCCGCTGAGTTTGTTTTGTGTTGGTCATCCACTGCTGGGCATGGGACCTTCCTTTAAGAGTAGTTAGTTTCCTCAGTGAGACTCCTTGGAAAAAACTAAATTTTCAATTGCAGCTGACTCTCAATTGAAAATAGCTTCTGAGTTAGGTAGGGATGGGGGTGTGTTAACACATCTCCTTTCAGCTCTAGGACCCCATCTGGTGCAGAGCCATGCAAGCCCCATGCCTGCTGCCCTGTTGTATCCAGAAAGCCTTAAGTCTTTGTTGTCCTCTATCCCCTTGGGCTCTTACACTCTTTCTGCCTCCTCGCACAGTTTCCTGAACCTAGAGAGAAGGGATTTGATGGAGATGTCCCTTTTAGGGATTTCCCAAGGTTTCTCACTCTCTGTGTCTTTGACTGTGGGTCTCTGTATTTGTGCCCATCTGCTTTAAAGAGGAAGCTTCTCTGGTGATGGCCGAGCAAGGCACAGATCTGTGGGTATAGCAGAGTGTCATTAGTAGTCATTTTATTGCTATGTTCCTTTAGCGGAACAGTAGTATTTGTTGTTTTCCTAGGTTCCTGACCTATTCAGTTTCAGGTTCTTGGTCACTAAGGCAGTGTTGAACATGGGTTCCATCTCATGGTGGGGGCCTTAATTCCAATATGACATTGGTTGGTTACTCCCACAAGCTCTGTGACAGTATTGCACCAGTGTATTTTGCAGGCAGGTCACTCTTACAGACTGAAAGTTTCTAGCTGGGTTGGTGTTTCCTTTTCTCCCCTAGTAGCATGCAGAGTACCTTCCAGTACCATAAACATAAATTAGAGGTAAAGGCTCTAAGTAGGCACCAGCTCTACTTATCTGTGTTCAATGAGTTGTATTGGTGTTGTCCGCAGTAATAGGGTCTAACTGCTGATTTGTGGAGAGCCTTGACAATAGCCTGGCTTGTTTGGAAGTTCCCACGAGACCCTTTTGGCTAACAACTTGATTGGGTGTAACCCACCCCCAGTACTTGAAACTTAATTTGGTGATGAGAAATGTCCAGTTGAGTCACCATTGCCCCCATTATTTGTCAGTTTCATTTAGTACCTTCGTGTGTGTGTGTGTGTGTGTGTGTGTGTTTGTGTATGTGTGTGAATTATATATAACAGGAAACTTCTGCTGTATTAGGTTTCCATAAGATCCCTCAAATGGACCCTAGTTTTAACTGTCCATCCCTGAATTCTCTCCCTCTTTCCTTTCTTTCTTCCCTTCCCCTCCCTGTCTGATCCTCTCATTTCAATCCCCCCACATCATCCATCCATAACTATCTATTTTATTCCCCTTTCCTAGGGGGAATTCATCTCTCCCTTCATACCTTACTCTCTACCTAACCTCTGTGGTTCTACAGAGTGTAGCTTGCTTATCAGGGACTTAACAGCTAACATCGACATAGAAGTGAATAATACTGTTTGTCTTTCTGGGTCTAAGTTACCTCACTTAGAATGATTTTTGCTTAGTTCCATTCATTTACCTACAAGTTTCCTTCCTTCCTTCCTTCCTTCTTTTTTTCCTTTCTTTCTTTCTTCCTTCCTTCCGTCCTTCCTTCTTTTTTTCCTTCCTTCCTTCCTTGCTTCCTTCCTTCCTTCCTTTCTTTCCTTCTCTCTCTCTCTCTCTCATAGGGTTTCTCTGTGTAAACTTGGCTATCCTGGAACTCACTCTGTAGACCAGGCTGGCCCCTAACTCAGAGTGAGTGGTCTGCCTCTTCCTCCCAAATGCTGGGACTAAAAGTGAACACCACCACCACCCATCAGAAATTCTCATTTTTTGATAGCTGAGTAATAATCCATTCTGTGAATGTACTACATTTTCTTTATCTATTCAACCATTAATGAATATCTAGATTGTTTCCAATTTATTGCTTTTATGAATAGAGCAGAAATAAACATAGCTGATGGATGGATTTTCCATTCAATTCCCATCTTTATGATTAAACTGCCACACTGATTTTCATAGTGGCAAACAAGTTTGCACTTTCACCACCAATGGAAGAGTGCTTTCTTTACTCCACATCTTTACCAGGATGAGCTTTCACTTGTGTTATGGTTCTCAGTCATTCTGACAGGTGTAAGATGGAATCTCAAAGTACCGTTGATTTGCATTTCCCTGATGCTGTTGTTGAAGACACTACCACTTTTTCTAGTGTATATTTCTGGCTTCTCTATCAAAAATTGGGTATCCATGAGTGTGTGGACTTATTTCTGAATCTTTATCTCTATTTTATTGATCAGCATGTCTGTTTTTGTGCCAATACCATGCTGGTTTTATTATTATAACTCTGCAGAATAATTTGATAGTGGGGCTAGTGATACTTTCCGCAGTTCTTTACTCATTCGTGAGTGTTTTATCAATGATTTTGATAAACAAAACTGAACTACAGCCCAGACCCACCTGCCTAGGTCTAGTACCACCCACAGTGGGCTAGATCCTCCTGTATCAATTAACAATAAAAATACCCCCCACAGACATGCCCACAGGCCGTCCTGATGAAGACAATTCCTCGAGTGAGGTTCCTTCTTCCCAGATATTTCTAGCTTGGTGACAAGTTTACCAAAACTAACCAGTCAAGGTGGCAAGCTAAACTTAGTTGTGGACACAGAACACCCACTGCACGAAAGGGATAGGCTGCCCAATCAATTTCAGAGTCTAAGTCAGCCCTCCCTTTGATCTCAGAAGTTGACACCTTTGACTAATTAATGTATCTATTTCCTTGTCCTCTCTCTAGGATTGTGCTTCGAGGGCAAGAGATAGTCAACTCCGTGGTTCCCAATTCAAATGGAGTCTTTGACTTCCAGAAAACTTATCAGTTGTCTGAAGAGGAGGTAAGATTACCACCTGGTCTTTCTAGTCCACCAGCCTGGAAATTTGGGAGGGGTGCTCTTGAGTCAAAAGACCTAGAATTCTATGATTTGAAGGCCTGCCAAATTTCCCAGGAGCAGGACCAAGAGCAAGACTCATCAATTCTACTTGATGACCTCAGACATTTCATCTTCCCTCTCTACTGAATTTGGTCATTGCTAAGGCCATGATATGTCCCAGGCATCCCCTAACCCCCAAATCTATTTCTATTTTCCCCTTTTAGGCCCTGGATGTCAGTGACCACTTTCCAGTTGAATTTAAACTCCAGTCTTCAAGGGCCTTCACCAACAACAGAAAATCTGTTGCTCTAAAGAAGAGAAAAAAAGGCAATCGCTCCTAGGTACCATGGCGCCATTTTTTTTTAAAAGTCACACCTTGCTTCTAAATAAAATGGCTCTCATCGGTCTAAACTATCTGCACACTCTGCACACTCAGGAATTAGGAATGACCTGGCTAATTTTATTGTCTATCTAAGTCCATTCCACCTGGAGCCAAGTTGGGAAAGAGTCTTCTGTTATGCCTCTTTGACCCCACACCATCACTGGGACCTACCACTAGTTAGGTAGCAGGTCAAATGTCAGCTGTCAGCCCTAGCTGTCAGTGTTCACAAGAGACTCCAGTTTCCCAGAAATGAGCAGAAATGTCAAGACTCAAATAATACCTCATGATGTCTCAATCAGACTCTGCTTCATCCTGCTGGGGTTGGGCAATTGTAACATCTATCAGGAATGAAGAATGAGGGCCATTCCTACTGTGTTTTCCTGGCTCCATTGTCCTAACTCAATCAACCTAGTAACCTCCAGTGTCACCTGCCGTGCACCGCGCCCCCGTGTCTGCGCTCTGTGCACTGGCACCCAGTTCACGAGCTTCGGGCAAGGGGGCTGGAGGTTAAAATACACAAACACACACAGACAGAGAGACAGAGACATGGGTCATCCTTGAATTCCCCAAGAATGCCCCCTTTATTGTGTTCAGGGGCAGATTATATAGAGATAGCCACGCCCCAGCCAAACCCACCAGAAACCACTCTCCTGCCATCAGGAACTCCTGAAGGTCTCGTGCTCAGAGCAGCTGTAGGCACACAGATCAGGGGATTACAAGAAATTCAGGATCTGGGGGTCTCACTGCTCCCAACAGTCACCCTTTTCATTTTCAAGTAAGAACACAATCCTTTCCCTACCCACAGACCACCCCTTATCCATAGACCACATCTACCCATAAATCATCCCTAGCCACAGCCCACCCCTAACTAAAGCCCACCCCTGCCCATAGACCACACCTACCCAAGACTACCCCTACCCACAGCCCATCCCTAACCATAGACCACACCTACCTATAGGCCACACCTATTCAAGACTACCCGTATCCAAAGCCCACCCTTACCCACAGCCCATCCCTATTCACAGCCCATTCCTACCCGTAGACTACCTCTACCCACAGCCCTGTCCATAAGTCATTGCCATGGCCTGAGCTCAGTCTTCAGACACCATGAAGGTTTCTAAAGAAGAGAAAAAAAAAGAGCAATTGCTCCTAGGTACCATGGTACCATTTTTTTTTAAAGTCACTCCTTGCTTCTGAATAAAATGGCTCTCATAGGTTGAAACTATCTGCACACACAGGAATTAAGAATGGCCCAGCTGATTTCATTATCCATCTGCGTTCAGTCCACCTGGAGCTAAGCTGAAAAAAAAGTCTTCTGTTATGCCTCACTTTGCATTGGATGCTCCAAAAGGGTCTTCACTTCCTACCCCCTTTTCCCTTTTCTCTTCTTCCTTCCCCCAACTCCCTGAAGAGGTTCTACCTTGCATTCTGTCCTCTCCCAAGTAACCCCTGTCTCATATCCCATGCCTCCCTTCCAATATTTACCACATTGTATTTGTGCTGGGGCCAGCACTGAAGCTCACTGAAAGTCCAGGAAGGGCAAGTTCCATTGACTGACTTGGACTTGAGGCTTTGTTCTCCCTTTGCCACTCTGGAAACCAGCAATGTGGCACCATTTTGCTTATGTTTAGGGTGCCCATTTTTGTGTATTTTGCTTTGTTTTCCAGGATATTCTTTCTTTATTCTTTACTTGTACATGAACAGGAGCCGTGAAAAGCAATGGCACTTCTGACTCTACTCCTAGTGTCTTGTCTCAGAGGCAACCTTTTCACACAGCTTCTGTGGTCTTCTAAAGATGTTCATGCATAAATGAGTACCATGTGTAATCTTAAGAAATACAAAATGTATCACACTGTACATATGGGTCTATGAGTTGCTTTTTTTCCCTTAATATACTGGTGACCGCATGACTTTGATATAAGAAAAAAAGGCCACGAGTTTTGTGTTAGTCAGCTCCATCATCCTGACAGAAGCCTAAGATCACCTTTAAAGGAGGGTCTGTGTTGTGACTTGTGTCTCCAGAAATTTCACACACACACACACACACACACACACACACACACACACACACAGAGAGAGAGAGAGAGAGAGAGAGAGAGAGAGAGAGAGAGAGGGCTCCTCTGGTCTCCACAAGTATACATGCATTCAAGAAAAGCACCCATACACATAAAAATAGACAGACAGGGTGGGAGGCATAGTCTCAGTTTCCCTTCCAGGGCATGCTCTCTCACCATGACCCCTAACCAAGCTCCAACTCTCACAAGATTCCCATCTCCCGACAGCATCATAGGTTGGGTACCAAATCTTTCCTACATGAGCCTTTGGGAGCCACTCTAGTCCCAAGTGTCAGCCTTGAACTAGGATTATGTAGCATCTTGCCAAGGGAATAAAATCAAAAGGGCCCTGGCTAACTTGGGAAAGACATCTTCCCCAAAATGCTGATTCACCTTGGAGATTTTGTGGAGATTTCTATTGTCCAATTAATCTCTGAGACTTTGGAGGAGATGACAAGGCTGTTGAGAAGTTGGCACTCTTTTGAGTTCACAGACCCGGAAACTTTCCAGTGTCCAAATGGTAAAGTACCTGTTATTCCCCTTTAGCTATTTAGAACCAATGGTGCCAAGAACCCCTTGCTTTGCCATTGCTACAGCATAAGCATTTTGGCAAGTGAGCTTCAAGAAAAGGGGATACAATTACGTCTAGTCCTTGTAATAGCACCTTCCTTTTCCAATTCCCATTTCTGATACAGTGACCTTCACTGTGTTCCCCTGGAAGTGGGGCCTGAGGGGGCTTCTCCCACACAGAGACCCTCACTCAGATCTCTTCCTTGAGTTGAGGAAGGCAAGTATAAAGGGCAGTTGTCGGGGCGGGGGAGATGACTCTACTGTAAAGAGCTAGCAGTGCAAGCATGAGGATCTGAGTTCAAATCCCCAGCACCCAGGAAAGACGCTGGGCATGGTGGCATGTGCCAGTGATTCTAGTGCTGGAAACATCTCTAGGGTTTGTTGGCTAGGCAGTCTTGTTGAATTGGTGAGCTTCAAGTTCAGTGAGAGACCCTGTCTCAAAAAGAAGGTGGAGTAGAGAGAATCATACCCAACATAGATCTCTGGCCTCCTCACACACGTGCGTGTGTATGTATAAGTATATACACACAGTGGCCAAAGTGGTGGCCGTATTCCGTTCCTCCCAAATTAAGGAAAGGGAACCAAGTTCAGGCAGGTGTATGGACAGAAAGCGGAGCCACTGACAGAAGCTCACATCTGAATCAGCTGCTGAGTTGAATCCTATTTATTATCATGAAGAAGCCAGCATTTCTAAGTCACTTATTTGTGGATCACATTCATGGGACTTTGGCAGTTGTGGCTTCAACCTGTTAGATTCAGAGAAACTATGGAAATTAAGGAACTCTAAGAAAGCGAGGGCATAAGGGTCTGAATCTGTGCCCATACTAATGTGACCCCCCACACGCATGCACACACACGCATGCACACACAAGCACACACATGCACGCACACATACACACATGCATGCACACAAGCACGCACACAAGCACACACATGCACACACACACACATGCACACATGCACACACACACACATAAACACACACACCTCTGCATCCCAAGGACTCCTTGCTTGGCACATGTTCACCAATCTTGCTTGGCTTCTGGCTGAGTGATACGAGCCTGTGTTCCCAACAGGTTGCTGTGTGTGGGAGATATATTGAGTCTATGGAGGCGTTAACTAAGACAAGACATCATATAAATGTGTTATTAATGTCATATTAATGGTGTGTGTGTGTGCGTGTGTGTGTGTGTGCGTGCGTGTGTAAAATTCTCCAGGGACAATACTTCTTGAAATCAAAACATGAGTTCAAGGTTGCCCTTGATGCTCAAAATTGTATTCTGCTTAGCAATTGTACCACTTTAAATTAGTCAATCAGGTGGGGAAGAGACAGAAATCTTAAATAAATAAATAAATAAGCATTATATTAAAAAAATAAAATAAAAATAAATTAGTCAATCATGTAAGAATGTGAGGCCAAGTTCAGAGTGAGGCACAGGGCCTGTTTGCATTAGGGATAAAAACCCAGGGTGTGCTTGTCTGCTTGATTTGACTGTGCACCCTTTTGCAGCAAACACTTTTTGCTTGCCAAAATATTTTGAATTGTACGGTCATTTACCTGAGATCTCAGATCTGCTTTTTATAAGCTAGAAGTAGACTTCAAGACAAAACCACAAATAATAGCTGGCATTTGCAAAGCCACTCCAGTCTGTCTCCTTCCCTTCCTTTTTTTCTCTCTCCCTTTCTCTCTCTCCCTTTCTCTCTCTTCCTTTCTCTCTCTCTCTCTCTCTCTCTCTCTCTCTCTCTCTCTCTCTCTGAGAAAAGATCCCCTCTATTTCAGGTTGGTCTCAAACTTGACTACATAGCAGAAGGTGATCTTGAACTTCTGATCTTCCCGCTCCACCTTCTGAATGTTGGTATTATAGATACTGACCACACTGCAAGGTTTTACGCAGTGCTGGAGGTCAATCTTAGCACTTTACGTACACTAGGCAAACACTCTACTCACTGAGTTACATCTTTAGCCCCTAGGCTGTGCCCTCAAAAGATGTTACCTGGGCAGGTGAAATGACTCAGAAGGTAAAGACTTTTGTTGCCAAACCCAACAACTTGAACCTGATCCAGAACAGACTTGATGGAAGGAAAGAATCAATTCCTTCAAGTTGTCCTTTGACCTCCACATGTAAACATACCCCCATAAATAAATAATAATTATAATACCCCCATAATAAAAATTAGAACATCAGTGTAAAAAGTTGTAGCCTTTGCTATCTCATGGAATTCCAAGCACAAGGTGAGGAGGTGATGCCTGATGTTATACACATTCTATAGTTGAGAAGTCAAGCAACTTCCCCAAGGTCATCCAGCTAGAGAATATAGAGCCCAGGGTTTACTCATTTATTGCGCAGGGGTAGGCACAGCTTCTGGGGTGTGGGTTGAGGAACACAATAATTTTAAGGGTCACAGAAATGATAAGTTTCTAGTTGAAGAAAAATTTAATACATACTGTTAATGTTTTCTTTTGTAAAAAACATAGATAAAAAATAAAAATTTTCAACGTTAATAGAGGAATGGACACAGGAATGGAACCAGGAACCAGGAGAGGCCTAACAGGACTCTTGACTTGTCTTGCTAACAGAGCCAGAATCAAATCCAGGTGTATGTGCCTCCAAAGGTCACGATCTCCTGAGTGTCCTCTAACACAGGCAGGAAATCCAAGTAGGGACGAACAGTAAAATGCTGGGCCAAAGCCAGGGCGAACGCTCTTCTATCGCCACCTGGTGGCTTTTCTGGAAACTTCGGCTTAGTCACGGAGTTTAGGATGATGACCCAGGAAGCAGCCAATGCTCTTTGTATCCGTACTCTCTACTAGAGCGGGGCGCTGGCTAGGGATCCCTGTTAGGCTGTCATGGAAGTTCATACATCTTGCCCTGCTCGTACTCGCGCACATGCGCCCGCCCGCACTCCTCATCACTGACAACCCCGAGTTCTATCAGTATTGTTCAGGGTAGACTTGGGTAATGCAAACAAACTGTGAGCCAATAGACAATTTGAAATCATCCAGCGACCATAGTTTTGAAAAATAAACTAACATATTTTATAAATTTAAACCCGAGCGTCAGTGTGTGGGGGTCAAATCTAGCCGGTCCGACTCTGATTTGGGTCTTTGCTGGTTTGGAGGCTCACCGCCACACCCAGCGCTTTTGAGTGCTCTCTGGTTGCGTTTGCCTTATAGCAGTAAAGCTGAACATCTGTGTGGGTGGGGGCCAGCTGACTGCCAGCCGGACAACGTTCACTCTAGGCCTTCACAGGAAAACCTGACTCAAACAGTCCGTCATATCAGTCTTAGAATTATTGATGGGCTTGTTCATATTCCCTACCGTACTCAATCTTCAAAAAGCAAACACAGAGACACACACACCCAGGTGCCTTTTATCCTCAGAGACTATATCAGTGTGCATAAGGCATTTAATGTGCTCAGTGACACACGTGTGACTCACAAATACCAAATTGGAGATGCAGGCTTAGAAAAAATGCGTGCAAATTCCATATGGGTGTTTGCTAAGTACATAGACGGCCTATCTGCCTGCCCGCCTTTCCCATCTCTCTTCTTCTATCCCCTTTCCTGCGTGCGTTTCCATGTGAATGTGGGCACGCACGTGTGCACGGATCTGCACGCCTAAAGTCCAAAGAGGTGAGAGCGTCATCCTCTATCACATCTCATCTGTTTCTCTGAGGCAGGCTCTGTGTGAACTTAACCCCAGTGATCTTCCCAGCTGCCCTGCCGGGGCTACAGGATGTTACAGAAACGCAGGAATCTAAACTCTAGTTCACACGATTACACAGCAAACATTCTTGACTGCTGAGACATTCCTCCAGTCCTCCTCCTTCCCTACCTTTCTTCTTTCATTTTGGTACAGAGTCTCGGGTATTGTAGGTGGCCTTGCGTTTGCTGTGCAAACAAGGAGGTGACTTTGGACTTCTGATCCTTCTGCTTCCACATTCAAGTGCTGTGGTTATGGGAATGTTTCATCAGGCCTCCTGTATGTGGTGCTGGGGGCCTAAGGGTTGAACCCAGGACCTTATGCAAGCCAGGCAATCAGTCTACTATCCAAGCTAAGTGTCCACCCCTTGGTCCTTTTTGGCTTGTTTTCTAGAGAGATTTTAGGCATAAAAATTAGGGATAGCACCCGTTTATAATGAATCTACCTTTCAGCCCACACCTTTAGCTTGATGCTAGTTACATGGCACTGCCCCTGGGATAACTGAGGAAACACTTCCCACCCAAGATGGTCATTTAGTAGGGAAGAGTGGATATACAGAATGTTCATCAAGAATGCCTGTCCTCTCCCGAGCAACCTGTGTACTTGTTGCTAAAGAAAAATCACAATTCATCACACACATGGATAGAGTCAGGCACTGTGCCAAAGGGTTACAAAGTGTGATGTTGTTTAGTGACAGAATGCCAGTGACCTGCTGCAGGGAGCTTTTTCCGTGCTCCAAAGCTATTCACGTTCCTCACCACAGCCCTCCTCACTCTGTGAGTTCCAAGATATGCCCTCTTCTGTCCCAGGAGCCCAGCCAAAGCCTTGTGCTTTCAATCCAAGGGCCCCAGAGAACCCAGTGAGTTATTGGTGTTTGAATAAATTCAGCAGGTGTGTTTGTCCAGCAACTCTGTCATGTCAGGCTGCTGTGTGAGTGCTATGGGCCTTGGTCACACTGTCTGTCTTTTCCTCTCTCTCAAGATTGTTGTCAAGATTGATGAGGGAAAATTAGTTGTACTCAGTATTTTATGTGGTCTGGTTGTCTGTGAGATTGCAGGGTAATGAGCAAACTAGTGAAGGCCTGGAGAATTCCCCTAGTGGTGGCTCTTGAGAGACTCATTTGTCCAGTTCACTCTCTGTTCAGACAGAGGGGCTGCCCCCTTTTGACTAGGATGGAGAGCTCCACAATGCCCTGAGTTAAGGAAAACCCGTGAATATTTTGGTTTTTGCAAAGAGCTATGTGAGGGTTTGGGATCCCTACAGATGGATGTCTCCTAAGCAACAAGATACTGCGATGGCAGTATGTGATGGGATTTCATGGACCACTATTTCCATGTCTGGGATTATGCCTGGGAGTGCTTTCCAAGCGAAAAGAGGAAGACCCAGTAAGATGGCTCCGATAATGGACCCTGTAAGGACTGGCTATCAGAGGGCAGGGGTAATGCCCTGAATTAGGAGTATGTTGAAGTCCTCACCGACAGTGTCTCTTGCTGTCACCTGATTTAGAAACAGTAGGTGACATCATCTAGAGTGGTGTGGGCCCCAGTCCAACATGTCTGAGATCCTTATACAACAGGGGTGTGAGGACAGGTCACCCTGACCCGTGTGACACTGAAGGCAATTTAGAGCAGCGCTGTGGCAAGCCGAAGAGGACAAGCCTGCCCTCAAGACATGAGAGGCATGAAGGAGGCAGGAAGGGGCTCCTCTTCCAGAGCCAAGGGAGCATGGCTCCGTGGAGCCCTTGGTTATTGGACCTCCAGCCTTGAGAGCGGCAACACAGTGAATTTCTGTTGTTCGAGGCCTCCTAGATTTTCATAGCCTAGGAAAACTACTACAGGAGGATACAGGGAGTTTTATGTTATGGCCATGGCTCCAGGATAGCACACACTGGTTGTGGAAGAGATGGGCTAGATGTTTAGAGGTTCTTTCTCTTCATTCCTTCCCGGGTTAAGAGTGGGTATGCTGGCCAGCTTGGCCACTCATGGTTCTGGAAGCCGTGGGAAGTTCACGCAAGAGTTCCAGGTCAGCCTGAGTTCTACATGAACCCTTGCCTCAGAAAAATCAAGTGAACAAAACCCCCACATATTTCCAGTGTCTTTACACTCTCTTTCTTCCCTTTCCCTGGACACAGAGGACTCTAAAATGATTCTGATGTGTGTCATTGCCAGAGCCACCAGATGAGGGCAGTGTCTCCTCTAGATGAGTACCTAGGAAGCTGTTCACTCTACATTAGACTGGACTCTGGTGGGACAAATACATCTTCAATGAGTCTTTGAAAGTGAAGGAAAAAGAAACGTATCTTTATTTGTTTAAATAGTTGGGACGTAGGGGCTGCTTGTTGCAGCACATGAAGCAGGGCATCTCTGACTGATGCAGGGGAGAGGGAAGCCACCAGAGAAGATGGCAAGTTCTTCCCTGAACTGTAGGATACACTGGTACAGAGCAACTCTCCTAGAGATCCCATCAGTCCAATGTAGAGAAATAAACACTAGGAGATCGTTGCTTTCCTTAGCACCTTGTGGGCTAAGCCAATTTCTCCACTGTCCAGTCCTGCTGATGCAACTTTGCATCTCATTGTCTTCCCCAGGAAAAGGAGTAGCATTGCTAGTGATGGCAGGGTGGGGGCGGCAGCTTTGTAAGGAGTGGAGTTCTCTGTGTGTAGACAGGAGCCACAACATAAGCCAACAGTACACGCCAGAGGTGTACGTCTGTGGTCACTTCTTCATGTCACTCTCAGCCAAGGAAGCGGGGCTCAGCAGAACATGGAGCATCACCCACCTGGCTGGTCCAGTTAGGGCAAAGGAGCCACCGAGGCCTTTCCCAGGCCAAGTTCACATGAGGTCATCTGTCTGCCGCGGAACATGGAAAACGCTACTTTTGATGTAAAACGACTTGGCGATGGATTGACTTCTGGCATGAGCTGGAGTACTGTAGTTTTTCATGACATCCCCTAGAACACAGTAGAGGCCCGGATGAAAAGGAGTCATCACCATCCTCCTGCTAGACCTTCAGGAGGCAACTCTTCTGTCATGCAGTAGTAGCCACTGCCTCTCCATGTCCCTGGCTCCTTCCTGAGGATGCTCAGAACTCGTGACCCAACAGCTAGTGCGTGCACAGCGTGGAACGTCAAGACCTTGCTCTGGCCCCATCAGGATCTGTGTTTGCCAGCACTTAAGTCATTCCAGCCGCTAACCAGCTGGGCCCTTCACCCAGCTCCAAGCTCATCCACCATGCTTCACCTTCCTGCTACAGTCAGACTGTCCCACTGGCCCACTGAACAGCAAAGTCTCTAGGGGCTGCCTAAGGCCAAACGAGATCCTCAGATGCCCACCACTGCAGATCCTGCCTGTTGAACCAGTAGTAACAGTCATAATTTAATAATAACACTAATAAATATAATGCTTGTTATTGTGCACTTTCTATGTGTGAGGTATTAGTCAGTTGTTTTATATATACATAAGGAAATTTATGACCGACCCAGCTGGGACCCAGATAATGTTCCGACTCTTTCCTGTCCCTTCTTTGCACCCTCTTGGATGAGCTGCATCTCTCTGTTTATAATTAGGGTAGGGGACAGAATCAGTCAGCGGAAGGTCTTTTATCTGTTCCCCAAGTGACTCCTGAATTGGGTTTGGGTTCAGGGTGTGATGTCAGAGGTTTATGAAATGTTCTAGAGATTATGGGAGGAGCTTTGAGCTTAAGCAGACGACAGTCTGCCTTCTGGCTACAATCCAACATGACCCTCACAGTCAGCGAACATTCAGAAGCAGGCTACCAGCAAGGCTACTGACATTCTCGAGTCTGGGTTGCTAGATAAAGCATAGACTACCCATTCACATTTGGATTGCAGATAGTTATGAGTAATCTTTTTTTTTTAATTTATTTATTAAGGATTTCTGCCTCGTCCCCACAACCGCTTCCCATTTCCCTCCCCCTCCCCCGATCAAGTCCCCCCCCCCTCATCTGCTCGAAGAGCAATCAGGGTTCCCTGACCTGTGGGAAGCCCAAGGACTGCCCACCTCTATCCAGGTCTCGTAAGGTGAGCATTCAAACTGCCTAGGCTCCCACAAAGCCAGTACGTGCAGTAGGATCAAAAACCCACTGCAATTGTTCTTGAATTCTCAGTATTCCTCATTGTCCGCTATGTTCAGCTAGTCCGGATTTATCCCAGGTTTTTTCAGACCTAGGCCAGCTGGCCTTGGTGAGATCCCAATAGAACATCCCCAATGTCTTAGTGTGTGGGTGCACCCCTCGTGGTCCTGAGTTCCTTGCTCGTGCTCCGTCTCCTTCTGCTCCTGATTTGGACCTTGAGATTTCTGTCCGGTGCTCCCGTGTGGGTCTCTGTCTCTGTCTCCTTTCATCGCCTGATGAAGGTTAATATTCCTGAGGATGCCTATGTGTTTGTCTTTGGATTCACCTTATTTAGCTTCTCTAGGAACATGAATTATAGGCTCAATGTCCTTTATTTATGGCTAGAAACCAAATATGAGTGAGTACATCCCATGTTCCTCTTTTTGGGTCTGGCTTACCTCACTCAGGATAGTGTTTTCTATTTCCATCCATTTGTATGCAAAATTCAAGAAGTCCTTGTTTTTTACTGCTGAGTAATACTCTAATATGTATATATTCCATACTTTCTTCATCCATTCTTCCGTTGAAGGGCATCTAGGTTGTTTCCAGGTTCTGGCTATTACAAACAATGCTGCCATGAACATAGTTGAGCATATACTTTTGTTGTATGATAGGGCCTCTCTTGGGTATATTCCCAAGAGTGGTATTGCTGGATCCAGGGGTAGGTTGATCCCAAATTTCCTGAGAAACCGAAACACTGCTTTCCAGAGTGGTTGCACAAGTTTGCATTCCCACCAGCAATGGGTGAGTGTACCCCTTTCTCCACAACCTCTCCAGCAAAGGCTATCATTGGTGTTTTTTATTTTAGCCATTCTGACAGGTGTAAGGTGGTATCTTAAAGTTGTCTTGATTTGCATTTCCCTGATCGCTAAGGAAGTTGAGCATGACCTTAAGTGTCTTTTGGCCATTTGAAGTTCTTCTGTTGAGAATTCTCTGTTCAGATCAGTGCCCCATTTTATAATTGGGTTGATTAGCCTTTTACGGTCTAGTTTCTTGAGTTCTTTATATATTTTGGAGATCAAACCTTTGTCAGTTGCAGGATTGGTGAAGATCTTCTCCCAGTCAGTGGGTTGTCTTTTTGTCTTAGTGACAGTGTCCTTTGCTTTACAGAATCTTCTCAGCCTCAGGAAGTCCCATTTATTCAATGATGCCCTTAGTGTCTGTGCTGCTGGGGTTATACATAGGAAGTGGTCTCCTGTGCCCATGTGTTGTAGAGTACTTCCCACTTTCTCTTCTATCAGGTTCAGTGTGTTCGGACTGATATTGAGGTCTTTAATCCATTTGGATTTGAGTTTTGTGCATGGTGATAGATATGGATCTATTTTTATGAGTAATCTTTAGAGTATGGTCATACCATATTTACTGTATGCTCACACAAAAAGTTATTTGTTACCTAGAATTCAAATTTGCCTTTGTATCCTGTGTGCGTATTTGCAAAATCTACCAACACAGCGTGTTTGCAGGCAGTGAGCGTGGGCCTGTGAGGCAGAGCAGGAGAGGAGGTGCTGGCCACTTCACTGAGATGCTCTCTGTGAGTTCAGGCCAGCAGGTTCTTTTTGGAAGAACACTATGCAAAGTCACTACCCAGGACAAGACTCTGTAGGAGGCCTTCCTGTTTTCTGTCTGCCAGAATAGTCCCCCAGTCCTGCTCCTCATATCCTGAGTTATCTCTTATTCTCACAGCTTTGATGGTCAGTGTGGTTCACAGACAGGCAGTATCGGCAGCATCTGGGAGCTAGTTAGATGTACAGAAACAGGCCGAGGTTCAGTGTGGAGCACTTGCTTAGGATGTGTACAATGGCCTGTATCCCATCCCCAACTTTCAACAACTGACTCCTACACCCTATAAGGACCACACAAAACCAAACCAAAACCTCACAACATGGCTGCTGCCTGTGCCTACAGTCTATATCTACTTCTTGTCTGCCTTTCATGGAGTCAGAGACCATGTTTGTTTTGCTCTCTGGTTCATGCCTAGGGACTTCTGCCTTAGCAGCTTCTGTAGGCTCACCAAGCTGCAGAAGCACCAAGTGGGCTCAGTGAGTCTGCCTAGAAGGCCCTGGGAAGGTTTCCTAGCAGAGATAGCATGTAGTGAAGCCTGGTAAAGGAAGGGGAGGTGGGGCAGTGGTGGTGCATGCCTTTAATCCAAGCACTTGGGAGGCAGAGGCGGGCAGATCTCTGTGTTCGAGTCCAGCCTGGTCTACAAGAGCTAGTTTCAGGTCAGGCTCCAAAGCCACAGAGAAACCCTGTCTCCAAAAACAAAAACAAAATAAACAAACAAACAAAAATAAAAGGAGGAGGAGGAGGAGAAGAAGAAGAAGAAGAAGAAGAAGAAGAAGAAGAAGAAGAAGAAGAAGAAAAAAAAAAAAGGGAGGCAGGGTGTGTTCTAGGGAACAAGCCAGAAACCATGTGCAGATAGGAGGTCTCCTGGTCCACTTGTAGGATGGTGAGCTCATTTGGTTCTTTGTGTCAGGAGCGAGATGATGAAGAGTGAGGTTGGGGAGGAAGAGTGCATGATCTTACCCACATGCCAGCCATACTCCCAGGAAGACACCATTGGGTACTTGTACTTCTTCTCTGGTATCAGGCGATTCTGCTCCTTGAGGTACAGGGTCCGGCCCTGGCCATCATGGGAGATGCCTTGGAAGAGCAGCTTCAGGGTGGCCTGGGTGGGGTGCCTCATTTCCAAGTCCTCTGGCCTGCCTTGGGCTGCTGAGTATCGAGGAAATCCCCTGGGCTGCCTCACTCTGTCTCCCTGGACACCTCCTGTTTTGAACAGCTGGTCTTGGACCCCCTTGGTCTCTGGCCATCTCACCTGTACCTCTTTTCTGACAGGGGAGTCAGTGGCAGGCACTGGGCCTGCTTTCAAGACTGACCCACAGGGTGCCTGCCAGGCCTGCTTCCTGGTTCTGGACCCCTCTTTCAGGTACTTGTGACCATAGCGGATATTCCAGGTGGCCCGAGCAACCATCTCCTTCTTTATTCGCTCTCCCCAAGCAGCCTGGTTTGAGGAGTTGAACATCTCCCTCATGCTATGGAGCCCAGAGGTGGGAAGGAAGATTCTTCTTCTTGAAGCTCGTCTGTGTTTGGATGGATGGTGTCTGTCTCCAAGGAAACATGTAGCCAATGAGAGTCAAGTTGCCAGGGCTGCTAGACAGCCCTGCTAGATAGGACAGGGTGGGATCCTGAGGGGACTAGCGTCACCTACTGCTAAGCCAGGCCAGGTCAAATTGAAAGAGAAAGCAGAACCACGGTCCAGTAAGATGGCTCCGTGGGTAAGGGTTCTGTCATGTAAGCCCAATCAATGGCCTGAGTTCCGTCCTGGAACTCAGGGCAGAGGGAGAGAACTGGCTCCCAAAAGCTGTCCTCTGACTCCTTCAGGCGTCTCCTCACACATGTCACAGGACGCACATGCATGCACACATACATACACACACATACACACACATGCATGCACACACACACACACAAGCACACTTAGGGTTTTTTAAAGATTTATTTGTTTGTTTATTATGTATACAACATTCTGCTTCCATGTATGCCCACACACCAGAAGAGGGTGCCAGATCTCATTACAGATGGTTGTGAGCCACCATGTGGTTGCTGGGAATTGAACTCACGTCCTCTGGAAGAGCAGCCAGTGCTCTTAACTACTGAGCCATGTCTCCAGCCCGCACACTTAGTTTTTAATAATAAATTTAAAAAAGAGAGCAGAGACTGGACCCATGACCCTTCCAGGGTGACAAGTGGCAGGTGGGGGTGTCCCATTCTTTACCAGGGAATCATACGCCAAGTATTCCCAGGGGACACACAGGAGTCATGCCTTCTTCCACACAATGGACCCTGAAGTGACCTGCTATATACCAGGCACCCAGATGAACTAACAGAAGGTCCATCCCCTACCGTCTTGAAGCTTGGGTATGTGGTTAAGGGGAGTGTCATGGCAGTTCTGTAGTCTCACTCATCAGAGGCCCAGCCCTGCCACCTGCTAGCTAGTAGCCCGCCTATCTGTGCACACGATGACGGTGGGAGCAGACCTTCCTATGAGAAGAGCGTCTCGCGGTGTATAAAGCCTCGCGCAGATTCTGGTTTGTGGGGCAATCTCCATTAATGCCATCTGGGATGTACTATGTACCTGCCTGACCGGGCACTATGCTGTGCTCTGAGGCCTTCAGCCATCTCCTTATTCATGACCAGACCACTGCTGTTTCACAAAGGCCCCAGACTGGGCCCTTTGCTTCTTTAGCACACTGCTTACAGGTGTCCAATCAGATGTGGAAAATGGGGGGGGGGGGGTGTCCAGTGACATTAAAAAATAAAAAGAAAGAAAAAAGAAAAACCTAGAAGGCAAAAAAAAAAAAACAATTGGTTGTGCCTCAGTTTGGCCTGGACTACAGGCATTTAGCACATGTGCTTGGGCAGATACTCTACCTCCTTCTGAGGGCTTTGGGTGACTTCTTGGCTCTTAGGTCAGGCTGCAAACCCTGATTGTTCTACTAGCTGCCCGGAACTGCATCTAAACAGAAGTCCCATGCCTTCCTGGCTGTGCCCGACAGAGCATGGACGTCCATCTCCAACGTATTTTCCCATTTTACAGATGTGGGCACTGAGGTTCAGAGGCCATTCCCTGGGGTGTCTTGGCTGGTTGGCTGCAGGGCTGGGACTGTTTAACTTGAACCCTTTGCTGAAGACTTCACAATTTCCCCCTGATAATGTCAGATCCAGCCCTCAGCAGGCTCTGGCTCCACAGCCCCATGGCTTCTCCTAAGCCCCACACAAGGCAAGTGTTATGTTAAGGCGAGTGGCTTGGGGGAAGTCAGGACAGAGCAGGATGTGACTCTCCTAGCCTGGGCTTAGAACCATCATATTGTCTTTCCCCACAGACCAGCTTTCTCTCAAAGGGACACCCATTCCTCTCCACTTTGGGGAGCCAAGTTACTGCAACATCCTTCCAGGCGCCCTGGAAGTCCTGGCTTACCTAGGTCTGTTGGGGGCAGGGGGCGGTAAATGGGCTGAGAGGAGAGGTGTTTCTCTTGGCTTAGAATATAAAGTCCCACTCTCTCCCCATTTTACAGATGAGAACACAGAGGCCACTGCCCGAGATGACTCAGCTGGCAAGCCACAGGGCTGGGACTGAAATCCAGACCTGAAATTGTTACATGGGACACGCTGCTTGCAAATCCTCACACGCTGGGTCATTCTGTTGCCCGGAGCCTCTGTCACACTGTTCTCTCTGAGCACACCCTGCCCAGGTTTAGCTGGACCCAAAGAATGTGCCCCACCTCAGTGGTGACTGGGCGAGGCAAGGCATCCTGGTGCGGTAGAAGGGCGGGTGGTCAGACAGGGGAAACATGGGCAATAAAGGACCAGAAGATTCTTTGTCCTGGAGAGATAAACAAGTCCAAAGCTCAGAGCACCCTGGGATACGTGCCACAAGTCAGACTTGTAAATTCCAGGCTCCTGGCTGCCTTGGAGAATGCTGAGGAAGAGAAAATGGGTGTGAGGGGTGGGTCCCCTAAATTCCATGTACATGAGCTGGTCCCCATGGGCTTGGGGGCCCAGACAAAGCAGAGAAGGAGCTTTTGTTTGCTACGATCCCTCCCACCATGCATTTGGCCAGATCTTTAGGGAAAGGCCAAAGAGAAAAACTGAATCCAGCTTGCTTAGAGCCTTCCCTGCCTCTACTTTTGACATTTGTAAGAAAAAATTATTAAATTTTATTAGGCGATGCCCACCTTGTTTTTTGGGGTGGTTTGGAACTAGCCACATTAGGTTAGGCCAGCTGGTCAGGGAGCCTGGGGACCCAGCTGTCACACCTTCCAGAACAGCATGGGGGACATCTGGTGGATGCTATTATGCCCAGCCTCCTCATGTGGGTGCTGGGACGGAACTCACGTGTTCTACCACTGAGCTGTGTTATATTCCCAACTCTCTTATTCTCCCACTTAAATACAGATTTCAGGGATTGAGCTGGGGGCACGGCTCAGAGGTAGAGCACTTGTATTAGATCTGCTCACAAATTAACAACAACAAAAATAATCTAAAACAAAACCCAGAAAAATCCACCTGCCCAGTGTTGGCTTTGCAAGTTGTAAGAAACAACCTGAAGGTACAGGGCTAGAACACCCATGTTTTTGATTCTGTTGATTCTTAAGGCCGAGCAATTTTCAAAGGAAATCAAATCCCCGTGTGCTGAATTGTATAACAAATGAATCAAAATGTGGATCTCAAGGCCCCTTCTGAAGTCCGAAAACAAGGGGCCAAGGACTAATATGTGTAAGTGTGCTATTAATGAACATTTGCTCCCTGAGATCATCTTGGTAAGCACTTCCCTGAGCTGCAGAGGACAATGTGGGCTCCCAGGACGGGTAGGGCAGGGTGGGTACTGGCTGCAATTCCATTGGCCACTGGTGTAACTTCCTAGACTCATCAGCTTCAGCTGGGGAACAGGCAAACATCCAATCAGGAAGGACCTGGCACCAGGCCCACCAAGTTTCAAAGTTTTCAGGGTATTGACACAAACAATAGCCTGTTTCCATAGTAACCACGCCCAGGTGCAGATAAGAGCTGCCCTCTGGTTCTAGGCACTGAGAACAACAGGTCTCCACCCTGTAGGCCCTGATGTCACAGGCAGCAATGGCAGGGTTGTACCCCTAAGGTAAAACTATCATCACCCACCAGGTGCCTACAACCAGCTCACTCACACACACCATGTATGAGGCGTATCACTGCCAGGAAGGGTTGTCCACACAAAGTAACCAGTAAAGAAGTGTTCCCACAGATCCCAGTGGGACCTATAGATCATGGGAACCAGCCAAAGGAGGCATGCTCAGATGGCTAGTTACAAGACAGTGTTTAGATTCTGGGACACCTTACACCAAAGTCAACGCGGTTATTGTACAAATTCTGCTTCTCCCAGCAAACCTAGTCAGGCTAGAGGGGAATAAATGGATGGTGGCATCCTTGTGCCTCTATGGCAAAGCCAGCATCACACCAGACAGGTATCTGCGTGGACTCTTCGTGGCCCAAAGCCTTACAGAGGCTAGGAGTCTAGGACAGACTTCAAGGCACAGAGGAGAAAGGGTGCCTCTGCCTCTCCTCCCCTCTAATCTCAGAGGAAGACAAATCATTCCACTAGGCAGCCAGGTAGAGCAGGAAAAACAAACCACCACAACAAAAATACAACACAGAAAGCAGAGTAGGGGATGTAGTTTAGTTGGCAGAGCGCTTGTCTGTCACATACAAAGTTCAGGGTTTGCTCCTGGCACAGCATACATACAAAAAGATGTTCAAATTCCTTGTTGGCTACATAGGCGTTCCAGGCTAGCCTGGAACACACAAGACCCTGTCCTGTACACGTACATACCACCAGTAAAAATGATCCAGATTCCCTGCCTGAACCCCCACTCCCCTTATTCCCAGACTGATGGTCTTGGGGTCACCATGGGTACTGCCAAGGGCTTTTGTAGGGCTCCTGCAACTCTTTCTCTTTGGGCTGCTTCCCTGCAGTGCCTTGAGGGTAGCGCTCCCATTCTGGAGTCAAAAGGAATAGGCCCAAATCTGTTTCCATATGAGCTCGGTCTGTAACTGTGAGGTGTAAATTGAACCCTTGTTAGTTTTGTCATCTGTAAAATGTCAACTGACCACTGTAATGAGCAGTAGATGGAAGGCTAAGCACATGATGAGTCATCAGCAATCACTTTTCCTGGCACGGACAGGGACGAGGGAGGGGCAGATGGTGGCACTCATTACTGTGTCTAAGGCAGTGGAGGTATGTGACGGGTTGAAAAACATTTCTGAGATAGCAGATTCATGGGTATTAGGCAAGAAGATTTCTTAAAATCCATAGTTTCCACCTGGCTTTTCGAGACAGGGTTTCTCTAGCTCCTGAGCTTTTCTTAGAACTAGCTCTTGTAGATTAGGTTGGCTTTACACTCACAGAGATCTGCCTGCCTCTGCCAACTGAGTACTGGGATTAAAGGTGTGCACCACCACCACCTGGCTCTACCTGGGTTTTGTATCTAGGACTCC